GCCCCGGCACCTAGCTTCTCTGCTGCCAGGGCCCCCAGGGATCCCTTCACCTCTCGGGGCCTCAGTCTCATGTATCGAGGGACCTGACGGCGCTTCCCTGATCCTCCCACCTGGGCTCCAAGGGCAAGGGCTTTGCGTGCCACGGAGCTCAGACATCACACTTCCGCTCTTGGCCAGAGCCCCCAGGTCCCAGGGCCCCTGGGCCAGCCTGGAAGACGCCAGAGATGGTTCAGGCAGCCCAGCTGGAAGCCAAGCTCTTTAAAGTCAGGGCTTGAGAACAGAGACAAGGCCCCCCTCGCAGGGCCCAGCCGGAGCCCTCGGAGCAGGGACTCCGGTTATTGCTGACACGCAGTGTTACGCTAGCAGCATCTCCGTCGTGTCCCAAAACCACGCTACCAGCAGTCCCCCTCGTCTCCCGCAAACTGACCTGAACTCGGCTCTCACTGAAAACTTGGCCTCCACATACGCAGCACTAAAAAGCCACTGGTTCATTGTGGGTTGTTCTAATAAGTACTAAATAAATGCATTACTATTCAAATAAAAACACCTGCCGCAAACCCCTCAGGGAAGCACTACTACAGTGAAACCTGATCTGCAGCTTAGGGACAGTGAGGGGAGATGAGAGACAGAGACCCCCAAGGGACAGGCAGACAGGGAGTTGAAAGATGTGGGTCTGGAGCCGGTCCCAGGGCCCAGGGAGGTGCCCGATCCCACTTAAAATCTTGTAGGACTCCACTGGGCAGGGCAGGGCTGCTCCAGGCTGTGGGGGCAGGGCGCATCTCCAGGAATGGCCACAGCTCAGGGTAAAAGGCAGTGAGTAACCACTCAACTGCAGGCCTGAGCCCGGCCCGCCGGCCAGCCTGAGCCAACGCTAGCCAGGCAGGTACCATTGCCCTCCCCACGCACACAGCCTGCTCAGCCCTTTCCTCCCTCCTCCTGCCCTCCGCCTACCTGGGGGCGGGGACTCAAGCCCCACCAGAAGTGCAACCTCGCCTGGGGTCTGAGCCTTGCAGCTGTCCCCACCTCCCACCCTACGAAAATACTACTCACCCTGATTTTTCTAAAGAAAGACATCTAACTGGTTGACTAAGAGCTTGTGGGTCCAGGGTGTCTACAAAAGACTTCACAACAACTAGACAGTCAGGAATGACAAGACAGACACCCCAACACTGGGGGTGATGCAGGATCTTAGCAGCCTTTCTTTAAAGGAGGGGAGAAATAAAACGCACCCTGAATTGCACCTCTTCTGGGCCAGTCTCCTGGGCCACAGGCCCTCCGAGGCCCGAGGCCTCTCTGCAAGCTACTCTCCATCCGGGGGGCACAGCAAAAGGCGAGGAGCCGCAGCCCCCGAGCAGGACCGAGCCCCCGCGGATCTGGCCTCTCCTAGCCTCGGACAAGACCCGGGTGCAGGCCCCAGCCCGCACTGCCGACCTAGCACTTTCTGGAAATCGTAAGCTCTCCGTAAAAAAAATAAATAGCTATATGCGTCTGTCTCTCTCTGATCTGCATGTGTTGCGAGTGTATCACTGGAGGCCGGGCCCCCTCGGCTGCCCGGGCCGGGCTGGCGAGCCCAGGTGAGGCCAAAGTATTGCTGTCTGCTCCCTGGCTCCTGAGGTAAACGACGTGATCCGGGCCGGGCAGCCGCGGCCCCGCACCCCTCATCTCTTCCTCTTGCTCGCGGGGTCTCCGGGCTCCAGCGCCCCGGGGGGCGGCTGCGGCTCGGGCGCCG